CTCGCATTGTTTCTGCGGTTGGTGCAAGTCATAAGTGAATGGCGATTTTTTTAAAAAATATTGAGAGATTCTGATTTTAGAAATTGACGAGTAAAGGGGAGAAGTAGATAATTAAAGATTAACAAGTTTCAAGATGAAATATGCAAGTAGAGACATCTGTAACGTTTGTTATAAAACGAATATTAATAAAAATGAAAAAAAGTTATTATTAATTAGGTATGATACAAATCCTAATACAGATAGTATATGGAAAGAAGCAAGATACAGGATCCATTTTATCTCAGCTACCGACTATATCTTAGTTATATAGATGAAGTCGTGGATAAAAGCTTGTAATTAATTAAGTAAATAATTTCTAAAATTCTCATCTTATTTTAATAGGCTTAATAATAATGATATATATTTATTAGTCCTTTTATACAATCTCTTAGCTACAGTTTTACAATGGGTGTTTAAAGTATCTTGAATGGAAAACTATGTGTTGATTTCCAAGAACACTTGGCTTGGAACAATTTTGTTTATATGCAAATGTAAACAGCGGGAATTAACTCCATGAGCATTGTTGATTATTCGAAACAATGCCAAGTAGGAGACGTTTGTTGCTAATTACTCAAATAACATTTAAGCAGGGAGAGTGTCAAGTTATAGGCGTTTGGAATAATATGGGGTGAAATCGTGATCATTAGCATCCTTTTAAGATGTGTTGTAACGGTGAAATTGCATTGGTTATTTGATTACAATTATGTTGTTTAATTCCACTATCATTATTAAGTGTGCAACTGCCAACATTTGAAGATTGACTAATTGATAAATCGTAGCTTTATAAACTAGAGGGAGACTTTGTACAAATGTCGATTGCTTGGGTACCTCTGTCCTATTCGTGTTTCAACCGTAAAGCAGTTGTGTTTGCATGGCTGTGTTTCGGTTTGAAGGGTGGGCGCATATGGCGTGAATTTACTGGGTACGGAGGAATAACACCTAAGTTCTCAGGAATGGAAACGCATGGGGGTATCATGGGTGAAACAGTATACTCTGTTATGTCCATAGTACTGCTCATGTCTTTAGGCGACGGTTACCCCTTCCCATCAGGTGGGCCGTCAGCTTATTTGCCATTCTAAGTTGCATAAAAAAACCGAATACCTACTGTAAGTAATGCAAATAAATTCTATCTAACAAATTCTTTCTATGTATGTATTTACAAAAACTATTAATGTAAGTATGTTTATTAATAATCTAATATAAATAGTATATAAATTTCTTAGTTGGCACTAGATGGCGCTGTAAAATATATTCTTTTTTATACCACTGAGGTGGCAAACAAGCATATGGCCCACCTGATGGTAAGTAGTTACCGTTGCCTATAGACATATATACTTATATAGTAGTACTAAATATTAGTGGTTTAGTAAAAAAAGTTAGGAATCTAAAAAAAACGTTTAAGATTCATTACACAGACCATCCGTCAAACATCCACATTATCGTCATTACAACGCCGCTCCACTTATGACGATGTTTGCCTAGACATGTGAGGTGCAAATGACAAAAGCTTTTGTAAAATTTTTACAGCGTATTTTAAGCGGTTCAACGACCCTCGTGGTACAGCGGTAGGCATATTGTTTCGAGTAATGTAATCTTGATTTTGATATCTGGTTGGATTTTTAAATGTATTTATTATTTATTTAACTCTTTATTGAACCATAAATAAAAATTTATAATAACAAGTGAAAAATTCAAGTGAAATACAGTAACATAAATACAAATTTAAAAATACGCATAAAGGTACAAAAGTCGGTCTTATCGTTAGGGCAATCTCTTATAGACAACCTAAATAAATGTTTTTTAAAAAAAAACAATATCATTAGCCATAAATTGAAAATTTTCGTTACTATAGGCGAGTATAGCAGTGTGGTTCCGGCATAGAATGGACCGCCCTTTCTTATTCTTTGGATGTTGTAAGAGGCGAATAAGGAAACTTAATTGTTGAAGGATGGGCAGCAGCGACCCTGTTAAAATATCATCAAAGCCTAACTGCGGTTGCCAACCCTCTTGTCAAGCGTGGCAACAAAATTACCCAATAGGGGGAGGCCTATGTTTAGTAGTGGACAGTTAACATATAGTAATAATAAAGAACGAACAGGTTCGAGTCCTGTTTAAAGATAAATTTAAATAGATTCATCTAAAATTCAAACTTAATGATGATGATGTATGTAAATATATATACTTCAAGTCATCAAATATAGCAACGACAGTGAGAACGCTGATTTTAATTTAGATTAACATAGCATTTTTTAGAAGTTTCTTTGCCTGACGCTCTTTGAAAAAAAAAAAAATCACTGGAACTCTCAATTCCCACTTCATACTTAATGCTGATTGGAAGAAATCCCGTTTAGGGATAAATCCGCCGTCGTCATTGTACTATCGTTTCTTTTTTTGAAATATTTGGTTGGAAATTTAAGTTACAACGCAGAATGCGAATTTGAACTGATATTATATTCTGATGGTTGAACACGAAAAGATACAAAATGTGTTTTTAAATAATTTAAAAAATGGTGGAGGTTCTCCATACATGATGTTTTCCTCTTGGCCGTTAGTTTTCCAAATTGTTTACATACATGTAAACGATTTGGAAAACTATTTTTTTAATCTAAATATCATCACCATATTAGCCTTTTAACTGTCCACTGTTTATTTATTTATTTATTTAAAGGAACACCAACAGCATATTGCATTATAACATATATAACAGACATTAAATATAATACAATATTAATGTTATACAATACAACTGTTGAACATAAGCCTTCCCCTATGGGGGGTTTTGCCAGTAGTTGCTAAGTTTAGCAAGCGGATTGGCAACCGCAGTCAGGCTTTAGAGATGTTGTAAGAGGGATGCTGCTGCTCGTCCCGCGTCCTCCTTTAGTCGCCTCTTACGACACCGACAGGAAAGAAAGGGGTAGCTTATTCTATGAGGAGACCACAGTCAAAATCGAATGGATATATCTACTTTTAAATTGGTCCCATAGAAATTTTATCAAAATGAATTTAGTTGCTTGGTTTTTAAATCAATACAACTGGTCGGTTACTGCGATTGAAGTCGAAGTTTTTTTTTTGTGGAAGTAAAATTACTTTACTTTTTTTTTATACAACTTAGAATGGCAAACAAGCTGACGGCCCACCTGATGGAAAGTGGTAACCGTCGCTTATAGATACGAGCAGTGTCATGGACATTACAGAGTATACTGTTACGCCCATGATACTCTTCATGCGTTGCTATTCCTGAGGACTCAGATGTTATTGCTCTGTACCCTGTAAATTCACTGCCATATCCCACCCTTCAAACCGAAGCACAGCCATGCAAACACAACTGCTTTACGGTTGAAACACGAATGTAAAAGGGGTGTAAAGAGGTTTTTTCAGGGTCGGCAACGCGCGTGTAATACCTTTGGTAATGCAGGCGTTCATAGGCTACGGTAACCGCTTACCATCAGGTGACACTAAGGTAGCAAACAAGCCGTATGCTTGTTTGCCACCTTAGTGGTATAAAAAAAAGAATGGGACAGAGGCACCCAAGCAAACGACTTTTGTACAAAGTCTCCCTCTTGTAAAACTGCTTTTCTACAATTTTACATCTTATTTACAACAACATAGAGCAATAATCATAACATTTATAACAATGAATGAATGAATGGATGAATGAATGAATAAAAGAACGAATGGATGATAATTCTAATGCTTGAATACAGGTTATTACACTAGAAGTGTATATACATATATATATATATATATATATATTTAATATACAAGTGAAATAAAGAATATACGAGGGTAAGTTGAAAAGTTCTCAGCCTGACACAGAAATGGCGTTCTAATCAGCAAAAAAATATTGTTCTTGCCTAAGTGTATATGTCATTAGTTCGTATGACAAGTGGAAACTTGTTCTCTCAAATAGTTTATTTATTTACACGAATTTTTATAGTAATCGACGTGCATGTTTTTCGTAAAAATGCATAAACTTGAATACCGTGCGGTCATAAAATTCGTACGATTACGGGTTACGATTTGCTCGGTCATCCCCCCTATTTTCCTGATTTGGCACCCTCAGACTTCTATCTATTGCCAAACTTGAAGAAATTTGTTTCCGAAAAGTAGTTCTAGTCCGATAAAGAAGTTGAGAGGGCCGTAAAAGAATATTTTCACAACCTTCCAGACTCTCACTTCCGGAAAGGAATAGTGATGTTAGAGAAACGCCGTATCAAGTGCGTCGAATTCAAGAGAGATTATGTAGAAAAAATAAAAATACTTTTTTTACTGAAAATCGTGGTTTTTCATTGTCAGGTTATATTATAGTTGTCATATAGTCAATTTATTACTAACATTACCCTAACTACAATCACCTTTTTTTTATAAGTAAATTTCTGTCATAGATTTTATTGTTTTTTTTTATACAACTTAGAATGGCCAACAAGCTGACGGTCCACCTGATAGAAAGTGGTTACCGTCGCCTATAGACATGAGCAGTACCATGGACATAACAGAGTATACTGTTTCGCCCATGATACCCCCCACGCGTTGCCATTCCTGAGGACTCAGATGTTATTCCTCTGTACCCAGTAAACTCACGCCATATCCCACCACTTAAACCTTGTAATTAGAGGTACTAACATAATAATAATAATTTACTACTTGCAACATTAAAAAAACGGCGTTCTTTGTCCCGTTTTAAAAAGAAATTATGCGTCAGCTACCAGCATAACACAATATATATTAAAACAAAAGAAAATTCCATTTTCAAAAAGAGGAGTAATTAACTTTTTAATTAGTTCCGTGCAAGTGGCCAGTGTCTACAAAAGTGACGTGTTCTTCTTTTATTTTTATATAAAAAAAAATAAATTATACTGGTTATACAGATACAGTATGCATAAACATTCAAATAGAGATATAAGAAAAATGGAAACAAAAGAATAGTAATTGTTTGTTTGCTGGAGAATACACGAACTCACCAAATGAGTCCTTTTGCATTCGCTCAGCCGTCAGCAGCCTGCAACAAAATGCGTAGGTAGTTACAATGAGCGCTCACTTTGAATTAAAAGGTCTTTTTCGTATTTCAGTTAAAATTTAACCTGGCGTTAATCGAGATAAATAAAGCTTTAAGTATAAAGACTGTCTCCCCCGACCTAGATTTCGGTTGTTTGGTACAAGTTACAAGCGATGATAGTTTGTTTTATAAGCTCTTATATGGGGAGTTTTCAAAATTGAAAAGATTTAACTGTAGCATTTTTAATTTAATTTAGTAATTTTTTTATTAGCCGTGTGGTTTCGGCATAGAAAACACCACCCCTTCCTTTCCCGTGGGTGTCGTAAGAGACGACTAAGGAAATTTAATGGTCCAGATATGGGTAGCACCGTACTTCTTAAAACATTATTAAAAATTACATTCGAGAGTCCCGATTCGATGGTAATCTGTTATAATGAGTTTAATATATTTCAGTTATATAGATTTGAAAATCTATATAATATATCTAATAATAAATTTTCGAAAAATATATATAGTACAGGTTTATGTATGTTTTATATATATATATATATATATATATATATATATATATATATATATATATATATATATATATATAAGGTTCAATATTCATAAATTAGTTTGATTAGTGTCTAAATTAGATAAGCCTTGAAATCACTTAATTTTAGGGCTATATCTAATTACCGGTGTTTCAAAATCGTTTTATCGAATTTTAGTAAATTATTTAGTAGAATCCCTTGTATATTTAATAAGTTTATTAGCTATTTTACTAAATTAGCCCGGTGGGGTGTCAAACCCGGGACTTCATTTATTCAAAGTGGCATGCTTATCGCTACGCCATGGAGTTTGTTAAATCAGTACATAGTATAAAATAAATTAGATTCCCGTCTGTCTGTCCCTATATATGCTTTGATCTTTAAAACTACGCAACACATTTTGATGCGGTTATTTTAGTAGATACAGTGATTCAAGAAAAAGGTTCATATAACATATATAATACATGCATAATATAGTAGAGAAACACTGATAATTTTAAAGGTTTCTAATGTAATATCGTAATATAATGGGGGATTGCGGCCGCCTCAACTGTTGCTATATATGCACACCTCCAGCGAGATGCACCTATACAGCGCTAATTTTCAGGTGGGCCCTTAACTCATTTAACTTTAGCATGCGTTAGGGGGGAAAGGGATTGTTAGTAATAGGGTCAAATAGCCCTATTACTAGCAATATACCCTGTCAGGTCGACCTCCACGTGGTTCCCCCTGGAAACCATCGTGACTAATTCTAGTTTAATTCATCAGAATGGGCTAACTGACCTACTTTCATCTTCATCTGTCATCCCTCACTGATGCCCCGCCAGTGTGTGCCGATAGCGCGGACGGGGTTACCATACCATTATCACCCATTAAAAAAAACACTTTAGCATGCATGCGAGTCGCTAATATCTGTTTCTTGGATGGTAGACTCAATAAACTTGACAATAAATAAATAAAACATTATAACTATAAACATACATATAAATAAATAAAAAAATATTACCTTTCACAAAGTCCGTCCACTTATTTTTCTGTCGTTTTCTTCCTTTATATTCATCCACTTTCATACTTAACATTTTCTTTAAAACATGGCTTTCATTGATGCACGTGAGTAATAAATATTTTCAATCGACTTCAAAAATGTTTTAATGGTTGCCATTGTTAACTTCAATTAACCACCTGATGAAAAGTGGTAACCGTCGCCTATAGACATGATCAGTACCATGGACATAACAGAGTATACTGTTTCACTCATGATACCCCCCATGCGTTGCCATTCCTGAGGACTCAGGTGTTATTCCTGTGTACCCAGTAAATTCACGCCATACCCCACCCTTCAAACCGAAACACAGCCATGGAAACACAACTGCTTCACGGTAGAAACACGGATGGGACAGAGGTACCCAAGCAAACGACTTTTGTCCCGTCTCCCTCTGGTAAATGTTGATTGTGTTTTACAAATAAAATAAATAAATAAAATTCTCAATTCGATACGAAAGTACGTAAATTACCACAACACAAGGAATCTTAGTATGGGACCTATAATTAATATTATTATCATGTTTTGTATGTTTAAAAATATAAATGAACTATTATCCTAATCTAATTTAATCCGCTTCAGTTTCAGACGAGTAGATAGATAGTAGAAAGAAATAGTCTATATTACTCGCTGTTTATATAACTACAGGTGAAAGAATTTTTAAAATTAATTGAAAAGCTTTTCAGTTTATCCATTACAAATAAACATACAAACGTACAAAAACAACAATTAAATCTGTCCTTTTAATAATATTAGTACAGATAGATGATATGATTTTACACATTAAAATTTGAAAATCGCCACCGCTCGTGACTTAACCCTTAGTACAAAGTCCCGAACGTACACTCGGCGTATAATTAAACAGTTTTACCTCGTACAAAATTCCGTCCTTGAAGGCACATTTTGCTCAAACGTGCCATATAATTGTTATCTAGTTAGGAAATATATATAAATATATAAATGCCGAATATAAACCGACATCAAAGAAGAGTGTTCTCAATTTGTGAGTGTATTTTTTTTAATGGATGATAATGGAATGGTAACCCCACCCGTGTTATCGGTATACACCGGCGGGGCACCAGTGAAGGATGATAGGTTTTTTTTTTATACAACTTAGAATGGCAAACAAGCTGACGGCCCACCTGATTGATAGTGGTAACCGTCGCCTATAGACATGAGCAGTACCATGGATATAACAGAGTATACTGTTTCGCCCATGATACCCCCTATGCGTTGCCATTGGGGGCAACAATACTTTTCCCCCCGAGGTACATAGGTTTATTAAGGTAATTTCATACGAGGAATTTCAAAAAACGTGCTTCCGAACATTTAAAAGGCTGGCAACGCACAAGCAACTCCTCTCGTGTTACAGGTGTTCATAGGCGACGGTAGCTGCTGTCCATCAGGTAGAACTGCTAGACGGGTTCATTCAGTTCATTTCACAGCTGTACAGCACGATATGCAAATGAATTACCCATAAAAAGGGTTTTACAGCTGGGGAGCTTCAGTACCCTTGGACTGGTTCAGACAAAGACGTCTAGGTCTGGAGTGAGGAGGTAACAATTGGAACCGGGAACGAAGGTGGGAAGGAGAATTGGGATCATTAAGGGCATTATATAGGACCGCTAGGACATGTGTCTCATGACGCTGTCTGATTGGGAGACACTTTAAACGAGTGGCGGTATTCCGAGACATGATCATATTTTCATACATACATACATCTCTGTCACGCCTGTCTCCCATTTGGGTAGGCAGAAACAATGGAACGCCAAATGCTACGATTCAAACAAACCTCTTTCGCTTCTTCCACATTCATCAATCTTTTCATACACGCTCGCCGGTTACGGGCACTTTTAATTTGGCCCTTCTTCAGCACGTCGCCTATTTGATCAACATACATACGTCCATCAAGGGCGGCCCCTACCGACATCTCCATTCATTTTTGCTAGATAAATCTCTTTCGTAATTCTTCTTTCATCCATCCTCTCCAAATAACCAAACCAACGCAACATTCCTTTTTCGATTTTTGTCACTGCATCGTCTTTCAGTCCACACTTCTCTCTAATCATATTTTCGCAAGCTGACCTTATCACTAAATTTTGCATCCACTCAAGCTTATTTAGCCGCTTTTACAATAATTAAAAGAGTTTTCATACGCACGAGTTTCATATTGGTGGAAATATTAAACGAATTATTGATAAAATAAAAATTTAACAAATTGTAAGGGCTTTGATGTAGGGTTTGTTGAATAAATTTACATCGCTAATGGAAAGATAAACTGGCCGATCCGTGAGATATGTGGATGGGGCGACCCTTTCAGGGCCCGTTCGGAGTTCATTATCTTAATAGAATAGAGAATATGTACTTTCTATTCTTAACATATTCGGGTTCGGAGTGTTGTCTCTTATGAAAAAAACTTTTGAATTCCTCACAGTGTTGCCATAATATGTGATTTTATTTTCATTTCATAATTTCATTTTTTTATGTACCACGATGGTGGCAAGCGAACATACAGCCTGTCTATTGGTAAACGGTCACTGTAGCCTATAGACGCCTGAAACACTAGAGGTGTCACGTGTGCGTTGTTGTCCCTGAAGAATTTTTAACATACCCTTTTTGAAAAACCCCATTCTGTAGTCTCTAGGGAAAACGTCAGCAAGGAACTCATTTATTATAATACTTATTTACTCTTTATTGTACCAATTAAAGAATTATACTATATTGTATATATATATATATATATATATAAAGCAATCTCTTCCAGACAACCTGTTTTTTTTATACAACTTAGAATGGCAAACAAGCTAACGGCTCACCAGATGGAAAGTGATAACCGTCGCCTATAAACATGAGCAGTGCCATGGACAGAACGGAGTATACTGTTTCGCCCATGATACCCTCCATGCGTTGCCATTTGGGTAGAGAAGAAAAAAAGCTATTTGGCGCAAGAAGTTTAATTAATAAAAAAAATTTATATATTAATAAAACATATGTAAATAATAATTTGTTTGTTTTTCCTCTGAAACGATATGATTTTCTTCACTTTCATAAGTAAATCATTCTTAAAATTGTCTCTCTGTATATGCAGCTTACAAATGTCAAAATTCAAATCACAGGGCAAGGTGGCATTACACCATTGTATTTTAAAATAGCCACGCAGGAAATGTACTATGGGTGTCACAGTATATTCTGTGAATATACTGTGACACCCAATGTCAATGTCAATGTCAATGTCGTCAATGGTACTGCTCATGTCTATAGACGGTTATCTCTTTTCTTTAGATAGACTGTCAGCTAATTAGCACGTCGCTGTAGTGCGTCAAACATGTTTGCACGGGAGCGTACGGATGATTTTTACGCAATACGACGCAAACGAATTATTTCGCTGTTGGCTAGGGTGCGTGTTAGCTCAAACAGTGTCCTGA